AATGTTCGATCCCCTGCCGACGCACACTTGTTATCTATGGTCGGCCTGCAAAATTTGGGCTACCGATATCCATGCTGAAAATTCCATATTTGTACCAAAAATACAGTGAGTGGAATCAAGCTGTAATCAAAAATAAAAAATATTTGTTACGTCAAATGTTACTATTACTGTCCTCACTTTGAACTGTCCCCGGTATTATTTCACCTGTTCCACTTGTCATTCTAAATCAATTCGATTTTGCTAAGTTAAGCTCTATGTTATCAAAGAGGTTACCTCATTCACTTATCTAGGGAGCATTGTCTCAACTACAGGAGGAGCGGACGAGGATATCAAATTGAGCGAGAATCGGGAAGGTGAGAAACACATTCATCAACCTGAAATCAATCTGGAAATCTTCGTCACTCAGCATCACCAACAAAATTCGAATTTTCAATACAAACGTAAAGTCAGTTCTTCGTTACGGATCAGAAACTTGGCGGGTCACAAAGAATATTTCCAAAAGGCTGCAGACCTTTATTTACAACTGTCTTCGCTCAATACTGAAGATCGGATGGCCGGAAAGAATCACCAACAAGGAATTATGGGAACAAACAAAGCAAGAACCAATCGCCAACCAACAAATATGCAGGAGAAAGTGGAGATGGATCGAACACTCGCTGAGAAGACCGCTGGGTGACATCGCGCTCCAAGCCCTCGAGTGGAACCCAAAAGGGAAGCGGCGTGTTGGACGTCAGTGCAAGGGTGACATGGAGGAGATCGTGTGAAGAGGAGTTGAAAGAATATGGATTAACATGGATGCAGGCGAAAAGTACAGCAGAAGACAGAAGAAAATGGAGACGTGCAGTTGAAGCCCTATGTTCCACTAGGAACCCAAGTGAGCAATAATAATAATAAATAAATATCAAATTTCATACAGTATTGCATAAAGTGCTTATTCTACTTGCCTAATAATCCTATAATTGCACACTCCTACCAAGTTCTATGCATCCTATGAATTATCCTATATATGACATTAATTGTTTTGTCACCTGACATTTAACTGTGATTGTAATCACAAATATTTCAATTGCATTTCATACTACTATTATTATTTTATCCATTCACTCCTATGATTCAATTACCTTACGGCATATCATTTCTTAAATACCATATTCATGTACGATTGTACAGATTGTTAATAAATTTGTTGAAAAGAATCTCTTCACTGAATCACTTGTTTTGATTTTCTACATATTAAAATGAGAATTTTCCATTAAATAATGGTAAAGATACAAGTCGGTCAGTATTGTTTAACGTCACATTTATTCAAGTAATTGTATTTTAAGGCAATTTATTTTCCCCTTCTAAGCTTAAAGTTTGTGAAAGTCTCTTTCAACACAAATTCACTTCAGTATTTATATTTCAAATATAAACCTTCTCTTCAACTTTTTGTTCAGCAGATGATTTACTAATATTAGACAGTTAGAGGCAGTAGATAAGAAGCCGTGGATTTGGGTTTTCAGCGTGTCGGCACTTGCCAGCTAAGCGTATTCTCAATCATCAAACAACCCATAATTCCTCTGAAAATCACATCTGGTGTCACCCAGTGCTGCAGTCAGAAACAACATCATTGAGCTCTTAATGTTCCTATAGGAATCTAAAAATACTTTTTTTGATCACTAGGTAGTAGTGTTTTGGATGCAATCACCAAGTCACGTAGTTCACTACCTCTATGCATTCTGAATTGGTGCTACATGGTTGGAGGTTATCAGAATAAAACTGGTCTGGCGCTTATTAGCGTCCATCAGCATTGCATACCTGAGTCCTTGAAGGAACTCATCCTAAGACTGGAACCTTCATTACAAAATCAGGTGAAGAGGCATCTAACTTTGTGACCGTATCGCAAACCTGATTGGTAGAATTCAGTCTGCACCAAATCAAGGATGGAATGCATGGCATATCGACAGATAAACAATGGATTATTCTTTTACAGGTTTTCATCATGAACTGGCACTTGTTACAAACCATTGCAAAACCATCAAGGAGTACTGGACAGATGCTTCATCAGCCCAGTTTAGAACTCTTCAACTCTTCGCACCAACCACAGGGGTGCGAACCCAGGAACTTCTGGTTACAGGGCACTGGGACTCAATACAATGGTAAGTCCACACTTCTCAACTTCTGCCAATTGACGACATATAGCGACCACTAGCCAATTTCTTAGGCAAGCATTTGTCCTCACGCCCGACCTACTTCACCATACTGGACAAGTACTCGCGGAAGATACTGGCTAGTGGTTGCTCTATGTAGTGAATTGACAGAAGTTAGGATTCGTTGACTTACCGTTGGATCGGGTCCCAGTGGATTAATGGTCTACGAGCTAGCTCGCCTTTTAACCAGAAGTTCCTGGGTTCGCACCCCTGTGGTTGGTGCTTACTGTTGGAGAGTTTCAAACTGGGCTGACGAAACATCTGTCCAGTACTCCTTGGTGGATCTCCAATGGTTCTGTAACCGGTGCCAGCTCATAATGAAATCCTCTAACCAATCAATCAGATTCCTACAAACCAATACATGAAGATTATTCCTTATTGAGTATATAGCTGAGTAAAGTTAGTCTAAAAGTCAGCCAATCAGAATTGACATCCACTTCCGTAAAATAACGCCGCTATTTTGCTAGTCATGGTTATAGACTATTTAACATATTCTTGATTTTCTAAACCATACATTATTGCGTAAAATGCAGTGTGTCTGATACGGAAAAAATACTTTTCAGCTAACGTTTTTATGCGGTCTCGCTTCAGTAGAGTAGGTTGGGGAAACGCATAGCTGTTGTAGAAATGTTGTTGGCGTTGTTGAGCAATACTCGTGATTCGGGCGTCTATTTCCAAGTCGGTATCCTTGTTTCAATCTCAGCGTGGTTGCCAAAACATGATGATTAGTGACTACCTAATGATCGAACATGGTCCTGAGGAAAACAAATCACTTGTTTTAGACCCAAATGAACCCAAGTCCATCTTATCCACCGAATTACTGGAGTTATACAAATGTATCATTCATAGGAGATGGTTAAATAAAACTAGAAAAAAGTTAACTTTTTAACTCCCGCCTTCTCACATTTAAATATTTATCAATGTGACATATTTAAACACTTGAAAAAGCACCACTTTACACAGTTAAAACCAGAATTGTATAGTCTTCTTGTTGAACAAGTAATTACTGACTTACTTAGCTTATATAACATTGTTTTCTGGTAGTTTACCATGTTGTTAATGTTTAGTACTAATTTAGGACTAGGGGTTCAAACCCAGGCTCTTCTGGTTACAAGGCAAGCTAGCTCGTTGACCACTAAGCCAATTGAACCCGATCCAATGGTAAGTTCATGAATTCTAACTTCTGCCAATTCATTTAAGTGGAAATGAAATTCGTGTTAGTGTAGTGAAACCGATATACTTGACTGCCTTAGTACACTTATGCTCAGCTCAAAATACCTCTTTTTTGTATTCTTTAATTAAAGAGGCAACGTTATACTACCAATGTCTTATGCATTTCCTACTTTGTATTTTGTTGCACTAAACAAGAAAGTCCAGATTTCTTTCTAAGTAAACTAGAAAATGGACTTCAGAATAACCTCATGAGAAAATTTTCATTTTATTGCCGGCATATAGGTGAGAACATTATTCATTGTGACAATTATTAGGACAGGAACACAGTAATACCTCAGTTCAATGAAGCATATTCTCCTATGAAATTCATGTGCGAAGAGGAATCCCAAAATAGAACTGATTGCCTTCCCAAAATGTCCGTCTTCCTTACAAGAATACCACATGGTAGCATAAAGAGAAATTCGCATAGAAAAAGCACATGGACAAGACACTCTTCTCCAATACAAAAGAAATTATGTAAACAACCTCAGCTACAGAATTAGAGATATATGCTCAGAAGAGGTAACTGAAGATGAACTAAGGGTCGTATATGGTACCTTGATTGAAAATAACAACCCATAAAAGTTCATCGAGAAACGCATGACCAAGAAAGCAGAAAAGGATTGTTCACTATCCGTGAACAAGAAGCATATATATATATATATATATGTGACTGCATTTCAAGGACGATATACCTATTGAGATAATTACAATGAAGTTACGAAAATCTGTTGAAAGGACTTTTAGTGCAGGCAAACAACAAGTGATGTTTTCTACACGACCGATGGTGATTCCTCGATTCAACGACGATACTAGCTAGCAAGTTCCAATTGTGTCTACTAATTCAAAAGCATTTGTGATGGAGTAAGTTACATTGACTGTTACTCCAGGAGCTTGATTTTTTGTAACCCCTCGGGGAAATCTACCAGTGTGGCTAAGTATAGGTGTAGTAAAAACCATCAATAGTTCGATAGCTGACCACCTGTTCCAAATTAGTCACAAAGCCAGAATTGAAGAATCCTTCTCTGTCAACTACCAAGTACCAAGTAAATTGCCAAGAGCATCTAGATACCGAATACTCCAAACAGCGGAGGCCATCGTGATTGGTTTGAATCAACCGGTGCTCTGTGTGCAGAAGAAGTAAGTTCAGCCAGCCACTGCTACTGTCCTGTCCGGCCTTAAATGGAGACTATGAATTCATGAATTTGTATTATGATTATGATTTATTTTTCTTATATTCAATGTGATATATGCGTTGTTGCTATCGAAATGTAATCCATTCATATTATTATTACTATTGATTCGATGTTATTTAAACAACATTAATGTTGGTAATAACACTAATTCATTCACTCACTATTATGTATGCATATATAACTGCAGGACCTGATGAAGAAGAGGTTATCAAAAGGAAAATTCTTTGTTCAGTTAACATATTCGTGATAAAAACGGATTAAGCGTATATATTGTAAAATGAATTCTTCGGCAGTTTCAACAAAACCATCCAACTATGAAATGGTCTTCTTTAGTTATTTTTCAAATTCCATTTCATTGATATAAAAATACAAAGCATACATAGTATGAAGGTAATAAACTTACGTGTTTTACACGTGATGCCATCATCTTCTTGTATTGAATAATAACCTGACTTACAGAAACATTCATTCTTTTCTGTTGAACAAAAACTATTCTGAACACGTTGTGCGCAGAATGAATCACCTTCAGGTAGACATGATCCTGAAATAAACATAAAAGCATTCGATTAGATGGAATATAATTTAATCATCAGTTGACTGACTAATGAACAACCTCGCCTAGATTACTAGCTCGCTAGTTTTATAGCCGGTTTCAAACCCGGATAAAGAGGGAGGGCTGGGGTGTGGTGCTAGCAACTCCACCCCCAGAACTTGAATTATTACAGAAACTTCAACGTATAAATATATAAAAATACTAAGAATATAAACAATAACCTTATTTTTCGCTGGAATCGGGGAAGTGAAATGACCCAGGCTGGTGAAAGCCTTCGGGAAGCCAGTCAGCGGATGTGCCTTCTTTCGATGAAAGCAAAAGTAATGATGGGTACCTGGAATGTTCGTACAATGTACGAAACTGGAAAAGCTGCCCAGATAGCCGCTGAAATAAGAAGGTATAGAATAGAAGTGTTGGGAATCTGTGAGAGCAGATGGAACGGAACTGGAAGGTGCCAACTACCTACTGGAGAGACAATAATCTATTCTGGTCACCCAGATGACAATCACGAGCACACCGAGGGAGTGGCCATCATGATGTCACCAACAGCAGCCAAAGCTCTCATGCAGTGGGAACCAGTCTCCTCCAGGATAATGACAGCCAGGTTCAACTCAAAAGGAAGGAAAGTTACAGTCATTCAATGCTATGCGCCTACAAACGTCTCAGAACAAGAGATGAAGGAGGCGTTCTACAGACAACTACAAACAGTAATGGACAACGTCCCAAATGGCGATATCAAAATCCTGATGGGCGACATGAATGCGAAGCTGGGACGAGACAACACAGGAAGAGAACTCACCATGGGTCGTGTGGCCCTTGGCGAAATGAACGACAATGGTGAACTCTTCTCAAACTTCTGAGCCTTCAATGATTTCGTGATTGGTGGCAGTGTGTTCAAACACAAGGATATACACAAGACGACATGGATTTCACCAGATGGAAACACTAAGAACCAAATAGACTTCATCTCAATTTCAAGAAAGTGGAGACGGAGCCTACTGGACACAAGGTCGAGGAGAGGGGCAGGTGTGGGTTCAGACCACTATCTAGTAGAAGGGACTTTCAAGATGAAGCTAAAAGCCTCGAGGATAGCTGGTGATAGGCCACAATGCAAGTTCAACACTCAGAAACTGAAGGACACAACCACAAAAGACACCTTCACTGCAACTGTCAGAGCAAAGCAGGAAACACTACGCGACATCACTGAAGAATCATGCGTGGAAGAACATTGGAAGTCTCTGAAGGCGATTCTCAACGAAACGTGTTCAACGGTTCTAGGAAGAAAGAAGAGACAAGACAATCAATGGCTCTCAACGGACACTTGGGAATGAATAGAAGAGAGGAGAATGGTGAAAGAGAAAATGATTCAATGCAAGGACGGACAGGAGAAGGAGACGCCGAGCTCAACTTACAAAGCACTGGACAAAGAAGTGAAGAAGAGTGCTAGGAAGGACAAAAGACAATTCTACGACAACCTGGCCACTGAAGCTGAGAAGGCAGCAGGCAAAAGGGACCTGAGGACATTATATCAGATAACCAAGTCTCTCTTCGGGAAGAGATCAACAGAAGTGAAACTCATAAAAGACAGCCAAGGAAACCCAATGAACACGGGATATTCAGACTTTCGATAACCTCTTCTTCATCAGGTTCTACATTTATATGACAATAATAATTACTAATAACAGCAGTGATGTTGTTTCAAATTACACTGAATCACTAGTATCGACAGATGACATCTGAAAAGCACCAGAAACAGTTAATACGTATTGATATAAAACTAAAGGGAGGTAACGCAGAACTAGTGAGTCTATAGGTTAGACTGAGGTTCAGATTAGCATTAGTGGATGGGTTAGTTTCTTTCGTACAGAGAACTCCAGTTGATTTAAGAGAATTACAACGGCCCATTTTTTTTGAAAATCTTTGGTATCTAGAGACTTTTGGTAACTTATTCGATGCTCTAGAAACCATGATGATAGAGAAAGATTCTTCACTGCCAGGTTTATGGTCTGTTTGCACTAAGTGGTCCAGTACAGAAGTGTTAGCGATTCTGACATCTTTGGATAAATATAATGGTAAGTGTTGCTAGGCGTAAAAAATTTGGATTCCTGAAGCAACGGGCACTGTTACCACCTCCACAGAAGTAGTTGAATTGATCTCAGCAGTTGGAGGTGGCTTGTCTAGTTACGTCTTTCACTTTTGCAATCACATTCAGTTGTCTGGGAAATATGACGTGCAGCTTGCGGGCAATGAATTGTCTTTGGATAAATTTTTTCAACTTGGTATATCCCCTCTGAATTATAGTCATTTCTATAGAAGCTTCCTCTTGACAGACACCGTGGAATTATTTTCTGCTTTTAGCAGTGTGTTTTGTGATGTCGTTAATACTAATAATAATGTTTTTTTTTATTATTATGGTAAAATAAATGTGGAAACTTATGGTGAATTTAACGAAAAGAATATTCTTTCTTCAGTGATCAGTCTTTTCATTTTGTATGGGTATGTTCAGTGAAATGATCACTCGTTTGTTTTTCTCTAAGAGTCGGTGGTTAGGCGGTAGAATGCTTGCCAACCATGCATGTGGTCTGGAGTTCGACCTCCTGAGGGCGCATACCTTAAGCTTCTCAAGCCGACTGCAAGGTCAACAAAGAAAGAAGGTTAATTGGGAGGCTGGCGACCACACTCAATGGGAAAAAAACACCATTGCCAATGAAATTTCGAACCTGGAGCTTGAGACTCTATGTTCCCGTCGGAAGGCAAAGGAAAAAAGTAATTATTGATAGTACTATTTCTTTAGTGATGAATTAAACTATTGTATCCAACTAGACTACTGATATCAGTTAAGTACTATGGTCTGCCTGTTTCTCTTTCTTCCTCTCTCTCCTACTGACAAATTGTTCACTGTTGCAACTGATAGTGAGACAAGAAATTTAGATAAATCAAGATACTGTTTGTCATACTAGTACATGAATTAAAATGACAGAGAACTTGGAAAACTGTGATCAGAATTATTAATCATAGGAGAAACTTTGCAAATTTATGATAAAAATTCTGAGAGTTCAATAATAAAGGAAGTGATATAGTCTTTTTAGGCGAAGACGCTAACAAAGTGCAGAGTCTCCTGAACATCGTGAGCTGCAATCTACGAATGTTTCGCATGCTGATGTTACAAGACTGGACTACACTGACTCCTAGATTAGAAATAGGGAGTGAAGTGGTAGAGCACGTTGACCACTTCACTTATTTGGAAAGTACCATCAGCCAGTGTCAACGGGTTGATCTCTGACGAAATCTCAGCACGATACAGAGGGCTAGTTTCGCGTATGCCAGTTTACGCCGTTTCTGGCTTAGCAGATGTGATATCCAGCTGGCTGTCGGCCAAAGGGCGGGTGTACTGCTCAACAGTCGCTCCGCCCTCCTTTATGGCTGTGATACCTGGCCATTGAGAGGGGAAGACATGAAAATGCTGGCTAAGTGTTTTGATCATAGGTGCCTACGCTCTATCTCCCGTGTGAAGTAGTATAATAAGGTGAGCAATATTGAGGCTAGGTATCGGTCGAGTGCTAGGTAGGTGGGAGGGGAAATCAATCGACGAGGCTGTGAAATAACATTGACTAAGATGGTTAGGACATGTGTTACGAATGTATGCCTAGTCATCGCCTTCCGCGACGGGCAATCTTAGCTGACATAGGGTCAGGCTGGAAAAGAGCTAGCGGCGGACAAACCAAAACATGGTTTCACAGGACAATGAAATCCACAACAGTTAGTTTAAGCCGCGTAGAAAGGTGTTGACTTCCTGGTTGAGGTCCTTGGGAGTATGGCGACTTGAACTGCCACACATCGGTGCAACGTTCTGTGTCAAAAACAAACAGACAGACAATAAAGGAAGTTAGTGTATCAACAAGGTACAAGTGCTATCAATCACTCACTTCTTGTTCGGATGATGCTAGGGTAAAGGCGGTAAAAGAAACCAGGATTTTGAAAGGAAAGTGTAGAAAGAGAGGTGAAGAAGAAAGGATATGATTCAAGGACCAGAAGGGTCAGTAACCATCTCACCATCGTAAAGACAATTTCAGGATAAAATTTTATTTTGATAAATTGTCACACACTGTTATACAGTAATATTTACTGATAACCACGATTCGGACACAAGTTATTGCCACTCAAAATCATAACAAGGCACTACTCACACAACCTTTTACTTCATTTATATACATGAGTAAAAGTTAATGATTAGACATTTGAATCAATTCAATATAAGATAAAGTACATTCGGAAATAATATTAGTGCTATCAATCAAATACAATATGATGGAAATAAGATGTTTTTATGATAAAATAAATAAGTGAATTCTTAGAATGTTATAATGTGAATTGATGGAATACATTTTAACATTATTTATTATCCTCCTCTGATTTGACTGGTGGTAATAATATCTTCCATATCTCTGGTCTTTACGTCGACTCATTTCTTTTACATTAGGAATTTTAGAAAGGGTCAAAAGCAAAACAAAAATAATGGTGAAACTAATAATCATGATATAAATAATAAAGAATATGAGGCATCTACAGATTTACCATATAAGGAGGGGACATCTAGGACCCTACTTAGGATTCTCAGTAAAGAAGGAATTAGGTTGGCATTCAAACCTACAAACTTACTCAGGTAGGAAAGGCTCTGTATGTTAAAGAATCTGTAGGTATACCCAATTAAACAAAATAATATGATATTCAAGTGTTGGTTTGTAGGGATTTGATTGGTTTCAGGATTTCATCATGAGCTGACATTAGTTAGAGAACCACTGGAAAACCTCGGAGTACTGGACAGCTGCTGTTTCGTCCTAGTTTGGGACTCTTCAACAGTACGCACCCATCGGGATTCGAACCCAGGACCTTCTTGTTACAAGGCTAGCGAGCTCGTATACCATTAAGCCACTGGGACCCGATCCAATGGTTCTTGAATTCTAACTTCTACCAATTCACGACATAGC